GTGTGCATGTAAATCGAGAAAACGTTTTGCATCCATCTTTGACACGTCCACTTGCGGCAATATATCGCACACCATGTCAGCCAAAACATCACCAAGACCACCGGCCATTGCTAGTCCTTGACCACTCAGACCAGTCGCCACGAAATAGCCCGGAACCTGAAGTGCACAAAAAAATTTCCATTTGTTTTCATGAGAATCAGTCGGATTGTTCGATAGAAATCAATCAAATTACATCAAATAAAATTGTGCGATGAAATGCTGCATAATTCACAAACGATTTCAAATTTCCAGACAATTCATAATAAGAATCAACTTCCCATAATTCATCTTCTCAATAACATTAGCAAATAATCAACTCCTAGTTCAGCGATTGATGTTTTTAGAATCACTTGAAGGTATTCCCACCGGAATACTTTATGTTCAATCGCACCCACCTGCGCAGTCTCACCAATGATACAGTTCTTATCAGGTGTGTACGACTCAGCACCACAAACCAAATTCCCCACTGTAACATCCGCCAACGCAGTGCAACGATCCAAAAGTTTATCTAATGCCGGGTCTGCAACAACCTCAATTTCTTTCATTCTTTCAGCAAGCAGTGAACGATTAAAATGAAATCTGAATGACGAAAATTTTTGCAATGATATCGTCGGTAATTTTGGTTGGGCATTGGAACAATTGATGACAACTTAACAGCGCGATGAGAAAATAACGATAAACATAGCATTAATGATACTTGTACACCATTCGGTTCCGAGCAAAACTTTCCTCCGCGAACGGGAATCGAACCCGCGACGTACCAATTACCGGTTGGGGCTCTAACTGNAATAATAATAATAATAATAATAATAATAATAATAATAATAATAATAATAATAATAATAACGACTAACAAAACTGATCCCAATCAGGATCGGGTATTACCCAATCAGATAAATCGTCATGGGGTAGCTTAAGTGGACGACATCCTTGCTCACTAAATCCACCGCAAACGGTTCGAAATTCATTTGTTCGTAAGAAAATCTTCTCGTCGACATGAGTAAATACTGCAAAAAAAGAAACGATTCATTGCACAAGTGTGACCAAACTTTGTAAATGTTGAAACTCCAATGTCTAGTAACTTCTTACCCGGAAACTGCCACACCCTACATTTTAAGCAGATCAATGTTCGGTAAATATGTGAGAGTTGCTCAACCTTTTCCCTTCCCAAATCACAATCCTCATCACTAATATGACCCATTCGCCTTCAAGCATATCTCGTGCACTGAACACAAAGCTATGTTAGTTAATCGTAATCCTCATCGCATCCTTACAATTAGTTATTCGGATTAAGCGGTCTCTCTTCGATGACATTTCATCGAAGAGAGATCACTTAATGCGAATAACTAAGCACACCTATCAA